CTCGGAAGTATCGCACTTGTCCGGTTAGCTTTGCATGGACCCCACGCTATATTCCGCTGCCTGCTAATCGATAGTTAAGTTGTCTGTAGCTCCACGCTCAGTTACGCTGACAGTCAGCTGTGGGTTAGTATAACTCTGAGCCATACGGGAGTGGGAACTAGGAGTGGTGTTTATTGTAAACTGCTAGTGGTCCCAGCGTTCCGGTGGTCTTCCTAGTGCAGTACAGAACCGGGAATGTTTTTTTGCAACTTCCGGCCACCGGCGAGCTAGGTATTCCACGAGCGGCCGGAAATTGGTGATATATTGAACTTCCAGGCAAATTCCGGCCTAATCAGAGCCACATCTTTTTTTTATTTTGCTGACTTCCACCACCGCTCGTGGAACGAGTCGGAACGACACCCTAACTTCTAGCTTGCTAGCTTCAACTCAGGGTGTAAACGGGTGCTCTCTCAATGTATATAAGAGGCACGGTCTGCTACAGTGGACGTGGAAGGAAGCTAGTTGAGAGTTGATAAAAGTCTTGAAGCTAAAGTTGTCCTCAAATCCGGAGTCAAGAAGTGAGGCCCACAAGTGGAGAAATCCACTTTATAGCTTTGACCCAAGCTTAGGGAGCTCAACGCGAGCTCAGTCTGTAAGAGCAATCTAATATAATGAAGTGCTCCAGCTCATGGCAGCTCGGGAGGATGAGCTTAGGTAATCTAAGCTCATCCTGTAAGAACCAATGAGAATCGAGTATTTTATTAAGAAGATCAAGTTACCGTTAGAGGGGGAAACCCTTAGCTCATCGTATAATCAGGTTGAGTTTATCCGCATATCTACGGCTATAAATGCCTACGAAAGATCCACGTGTGCACGTTACAGCAGTCCCCCCCTTAAGTACCAGCAACGTCCTCGTTGCTGGGGTCTAAATTGCACACCCGGTCCTTGGCAAAGTTGGTGGTGTCGAGAGTTCGCGATCGGACCGTCGGATGAGCAATCCGACGGCCGAATATTTGCGTTGGCGGAGTGACACTGTGGTCGCGAAAAGCTCCCAATGCCAAAACCAACTTTTCGAGCAGCCCAATAAAGCTCTTTTAAGATAGTGGAGGCCGCAAACTCAAAGCGGTCACTACCGTAGGCCGATTGCAAACCCGTTCACCAAAAGTTGCGCAAATTAGTGCCAACATAAGAACACATATGAAGGATGTTACATAGCAATTTACGGCTTCTAAAACGATGAAGAGACCTGCAAATAAGGATAGGCTGCGTACAATGCTAAGCGACCACTAGCTCTTGGTTGCAAACATTCAAGACTGCCGCCGTCGGTGCTTGAAAACCCGCGGTACGTCGTTGCAAAATCGCTCTACAAATTTGAGTCGGGCCAAGACTCCGGCGGTGACGTCATCGATTCCCGCCATATGACTCGAATTTTGTACGGCTTTGTGCCGGCGACACAACTCGACTCGATGTTACTGATAATCGCTACATAATTCGCCGGATCGAACTTGACACAATGCGCAACTGGCCGGCCAAGTTCGGCCTAGATGTCTACCCCTACAGTGAGGCCGGAAGGGTCGTGTGACTAGGTGGGCGTCGACCCATTGGGCCTCGTGGAATGGTTGGTCGCGGTATGTTACTAAGTACTGTGTGCGTTGCCGGGTACCGCGGCCGACGGTACGCTGCTCGACGACACTGTTTATAGGGTGCTGGGGTTGGTCAGCGGTGAGTACCGGTGGCGGTGGAGGGGGGTCTCGGTCGATAAAGCGGGTAGAGTCGTTCAATTGGGTGGTATGGCTTGAGTTTGGAGACGTGGAAGACTGGGTGTATGGTCATGTGGGGGGGGAGGTCTAAGCGGTACGCTACGTCGGAGATGGTTTGTATGACTGTGAATGGGCCGGTGAATTTTGGGGCGAGTTTGCGAACTTGGGATGGGTGGGGAGCGACAGGTTAGTGGTGGCCAAGTAGACTTGGTCGCCGGGTTGGAATGTCTAGCGGCGGCGGCGTTGGCCGGCGTATTGTTTTTGGCGGTTTTGGGCGAGGATTAGGAGGGTTTTGGCGTCGTTGAGGGATGTGGCGATGTTGTTAAGGAATTGGTCTGCGGCGGGGGTATCGGAGGAAGGTGGTTTAAGGAGGGCGGATGGTGTGAGTGGATGTCTATCGGTGTTCAGGTAGAATGGGGAGTGGCCGGTGGATGCCTGTACCGAGTTATTGTAGGCGAATTCGATAGGGGTAAGGTATAGGTCCCAGTCAGTGTGCCGGGCGTTGACGTAGGGTCGGAGAGCCTCCTCGATGACCCGGTTCACGCGCTCGGTTTGACCGTCGGTTTGGGGGTGGAATGCGGTGGAGTACGATAGTTTGGTACCAAGTAACCTGAACAGGGACTGCCAAAAGTTAGATGTGAACCGCGGGTTCCTGTCAGAGAGGATGACTCGGGACAAGCCCTTATGTCTAAAAACATGATCGAAATATACCTGTGCGATGGAAGGGGCAGTGGTGTCATCGGAGATGGGTGCAATTTTGATTTCCTAAGATAGGCGGTCGACAAAGACATCAATGCCGGAATTTCCGCGCGTAGTTTTAGGTAAGCCCACAATCAAGTCCATGGAAATTTGCTCCCACCGCTCCTGGGGGATAGGGAGCGGCTGTAATAGTCCCCCAGGGCGGCGGTTGCGGGGCTTGTTGCGTTGGCAAGCGTCGCAGGTGCGGATGTAACGCCGGACGTCCGCTTGGAGGTCCGGCCAGTAGAAAGTGCGGGCGACCAGTTCTTCGGTCTTGTCCATACCTAGGTGGGCGGAAGCGTTACAGTCGGGGTTAGTTCGGAGTACGCGGGTGCGGAGTACTGGCACGGGGGGAATGTACAATCGATCGGAGTTATAGAGCAAACCGTCGTGAAGCGAAAAAGACTCAAATGCAGTGTCAGCCAGAACCATGCGGGAAACGACCATTTGGGCGTAAAGGTCCGCCGTAGTGGCTAGGCGGACATCTGTTAGAAAAGCCCGGTCGGGAATGAGACACTGCAGCAAGAACATGTTGGTTAGCGGGAGGTTCAGGCTTGTGGTCCGGGCGCCTTGAGAGGGCGTCCGGTACAATGTGGAGGCGCCCTTCCCTGTACGTGAGATTGAGGTCAAACTGGGTGAGTTGCTCCTCCCACCGGTGGTGGCGAGAGCGCATGAACTCCACCTTAAGCGGTTATAGGAGTGGCCGGTGATTGGTGCGAACCGCCACCGGGCGACCAAGAAGGTAGTGGCGCCACTTGTGCATGGCATGTACTAGGGCTAGCTGCTCCCGGTCGCGTGCGGAGTAATTCCGCTCAGCGCGATTGAGTCGTTTGGACTCAAACGCGACCGGGTGAAGATCGGTACCAGCGGTACCCTGCAAAAGTACACCTCCGACCGCAAAGTCAGAGGCATCGATGTCGAGTGTACACGAGAGATCATGGTTAAAGGGGCGCAAGATTGGTGCATGGGTTAGCGAAAATTTGAGTGAGTGGAATGCGTGATTATGCGTATTCGTCCACTCGAATTTTGCACCCTTCACCAGCAAATCAGTCAGAGAAGCGGCAATCCGAGAAAAATCACGAACAAACCGACGATAAGAGCCAGCTAAACCAAGAAATGAGCGGATATCGCCAGGGTCCTGGGGTTGAGGCCATGCGGTTATGGCCGCAACCTTGCATGCCTCCATTGACACCCCTTCAACGTTGATGACGTGGCCGAGGAAGGTGACCTCGGTACGCCACAGTTCACACTTGGACTCCTTGGCGTAGAGGGCGTGGGTGCGCAGACGTGTGAATACCTCCCGGAGGAGCCGCTCGTGTTCCTCTGCAGAATCGGAGTATATTAGTATATCGTCGAGGAAGATGACGACGCCCTGGTCGAGCAAATCTGGAAAGACCGTGTGCATGAGGTCCACAAAGGCGGCCGGGGCGTTAGTCAAGCCAAAGGGTAGAACCAGCCACTCGAAGTGGCCGTACCGGGTGCGGAAGGCTGTTTTAGTAACGTCATCGGGGTGGATAGGAATCTGCCAATAACCGGAGCGCATGTCGATTTTAGAGAAGAATTTAGCACCGTGGAGTTGGTCAATGAGGTCATCGGCCCGGGGGAGTGGATAGGCATTTTTAACAGTTTGTTTATTAAGTCTCCGGTAGTCAATGCAAAAGCGCAAGCCCCGGTCCTTCTTGGGGGCGAAGAGGACGGGGGCCCCCCAGGGAGAGTTGCTCGGGCGGATGAACCCCTTCGCCAAGAGGTCGTCCAGAGTCCGCCGCAACTCCTCCAACTCCGAGGGGGACAACCGGTAGATGGGGCGGTTGACCGGGGAAGCGCCCGGTAGAGTCTCGATGTGGAACAGCATACCCCGGTCAGGAGGGAGTGTGCCCGGTAGGTCCTGAGGAAAAAAGGTCCGGATATTCAGTCCTAAGTCGTTCGCAACGCTCGTATTCCGGTGCATGCGTGGAAGCAGTGTCAGGTGTAACGTTGGGAACAACTTGAAAGACCGGTTTTTTTTTTTTTTTTTTTTTAAGTTTGTTAATCTCCACAGAGTTAAGCAGGCGGTCACCAAATTCCTTGCGCAATGCGCGCTTGCAGGGTTTACCGGCCTCCAGCGTTACAACCCTCCTTGCATGCACGAAGGAAATGGTACGCCGTAACCAATCGACAGTTTTGTTACCCGACTCTAGCCACGGTAGGCCCAAATGATGTCATATGTTACGTCTGTAACGGTGAAATGTAGGTCCTTGGAATCCTCAGAACCGACCGAAAATGGCATGGCTTGAGTAGTCCATTTGACCGGTTGCTGTGAACCGTTGGCTAGAGTTACGGGCTCCAAACTATCGTCAGACCGTAAACCGATGATCAAACCACGCGCAAATTCAGACGCCATCACAATATCAGAGTCGGCCCCGGAACATGGAATACTTGACCCCCAGTATTCTGTATTCCAAGGTTTCAAAAAGGCAGTATTCCGTATTCCAGGGTGCTCAAGTATTCTGTATTCCGTTTCGCAAATGTGACTTTTAACAGTTTGGAAGGTACGTTAAAGAAGTGCGCCCGTCGTGTGAGTTCTTTTACAATTTCCTTCGGTTCGAAGCATGCTTTTGGAAGTCTTTTTACTTCGAAGTCAGGTATTTTGCCGTTGTTTGCCGCATGTTGTGTAGTATGCTCGGAAACGCCCTGTATTCTGCATTCTAGTATTCCAAGGCCCAAATTTGGGTATTCCGGATTCTTCCGCTTCCAAAAATGGGTATTCCGTGTTCCGATAGTCCATGTTCCGGGGCCTATCAGAGCAACCGGAATCAATCAAAACCCTGCATGCACGACTTAGGACTTGACCACGCAGGAAGATCAAACGAGAAGATTTGCGTCCGGTAGGACCCGGTGTGGGTGGGGCAGCCTTGCGGTTCCTGGGAAGGGACTTGTCCCGGGACCGTCTACAGGGGCGTGAAGTTTTCCGAGCCGCGGGGCTCGGAGCCTAGGTCGATGAGGTCGGGGTGATCGGTGGGGGACGCCTGGTGCTCAACGTTGTTGACACTAGGACGTCCTGCAGAGGTACCAAGTGGGCACTTAGTTGCAATGTGCCCAATTTGCCTGCATCTGAAGCAACCACCAATCTTCCGTAATCGATCCCTTTCGGAGTCGGTTAACGGGGGTAGCCTACGCCTCAATGCATCAATCTCCATAGGAACAGGGTCGGAAGCAGGGTTAGCAGGCCGGAAGGGAATAGGGATCGGGTTAGCCGCTGAGGCGAACCGCCCTTTTGGCTGCCGGTCCAAACAAGCTTAGGGAGCTCAACGCGAGCTCAGTCTGTAAGAGCAATCTAATATAATGAAGTGCTGCAGCTCATGGCGTGCTCATAGCAGCTCGGGAGGATGAGCTTAGGTAAGCTAAGCTCATCTTGTAAGAACCAATGAGAATCGAGTATTTAAGGAAATTGTATCTGCGGTCTACGCCCCCTTTTAAGCTCCGAGATTCGTCGGCGAAGTCGGAACTTAGAACTTACGGTCGGCGAAATTTGTCGAGAGTATTTTGTGTGGTCGACATTCGCCGGCCGTCAGATTTCACTGACGGGCCATAGCGTCATCCCGCCGGCGATATGCGCGCTAGCATTGCCGTTCGACTGCTTCATATAGCGAACATAAAAGTACGCGAGCAGTAGCGATGTGCGGTGAGCGCGGTGCGTAGCGATCGAGCGGTCCATCTTGAGTCGCCATCGTTTTGGAAAACGCCAGGCGTGAAGGTAAGTACTGGAATGCAATATATCCTCTTTAATTCAATATTATTGTCGCTGAATATTCAGCTACCTTATATAGTTCAGTCGCGGAGGGCATTGGCCGCCAGGCCAATGTCCCACGCCTCTCGCAAAGGTCATCGGCTTATGGCATCCTGGGCGTTCCAATTTCCGCCACTCTTAATTATTTAAGAAATTCAAGTTACCGTTACAGGGGGAAACCCTTAGCTCATCGTATAATCAGGTTGAGTTTATCCGCATATCTACGGCTATAAATGCCTAAGAAAGATCCACGTGTTACACAGGGTAAGAGCCTGCCGCGAGTTGTGCGCGCCAAAACCGCGATCGGGGGGGTTTATGATAACCAAGGGGGGTCCCCAGGGATTTCCATAGCCCGCGGGCTTTAGTGGCGATCTCCAGCCGGTTGGAGAGGCAGACCGGCCGGTGCCGAAGCCGCGAGCTCAGTCTGTAAGAGCAATCTAATATAATGAAGTGCTGCAGCTCATGGGTATGATGCTGTATACCGTATGTATCTAAACCTGGGTATAACGTTGTCATATTCCCCCTGTCGATATCCCAAATAGCCCAAAAAGGCTTCATCAGTACCCATAAGGGTAAGGTCATCTTGTAGTG